GAGCCCTCTTAAGAACAGCTGCAACATAACCCTGCCCTTCTAACAGGAACCAACCAAGGCGATGTTGGAGGAGTCTGTGCACTCCATCCAATGCCAAGGTTCACACAAGCCCATTTATTGAAAACCACTAAATGGAATTGTCACTAACCAAATATTTGAAGAGAACATATCATAGTTCACTAAAAGAACATCGTAAACACCAATATGACTAGTACAACTCAAAGTGTCCTATGGCATTGAACCTGAAAATGATCCATGTTCAGCTTCAAATGTACATGTTGGAACAACAAATGGCTGGTATACTTCTTAAAGTTGTCTGTATATATGTTTAAAATACTATGATCTTCTGGGCAGTGGTGGCATGTGCCACCACTGGGAGGCAGACGCAGGCAGATCTCTGTGAGTTTGAGGCCAGCTTAGTCTACAAAGCTAATTCCAGGGCAGTCAGAACTTTTACACAGAGAAACCCTGTCTCAAGTAAACAAACAAACAAACAACTAGTATTAGAGTAAGGAAGGCTTGTACCTCTTCCCACTTAAAATTCTGCTATGCATACCACCATTATATGAAACTGAAGATTAATGATAAAATATAAGAAAAGATAAAAATAAGTGTTATGTATTCTACAAAATAATTCAACACAGGTGATAGTATTCTCATTTGAAAGATGTCAAAGTGGAAGTAATTTGTCCAAGACCACATGATTTCCTGTCTCAAGTCTAAGATTAAAATCTGAATTCGAACCCCCTTCATCCTACCTGTGAACAATGTTTGTGTGGCATAGACTAAAGATCTAGACCCAATATAAAAGATGCCAATAAGTTGGCAGTTAATTCTTGTATAGGCCCTTGCTTTCCTCATGGTTCATTTCCTTAACCCATCACCAGACTGGTGTTAGACATTAGGCTCCATTTAACTTATAGCTGTGTAGTGGTATACACTGAGAGCCCCAGATTTATGTAATGGTTTTCTTTCCAACAAAAGTGAATTATAAGTGAAAGGCATTTACTATTTACTTCCCTCAATGGTCGTTTCATAGTAAATGTATTACAAATTTGGGGGAAACATCTCTCAGATCAACTTAATTTGGGGCCTGAGAAATCCAGGGTTTGTTATAGAAATGAATTCATTACCTATGTGACTGCCTATTTCTAAAAATGCTTTCTGTGAGGTTTCTTGTTGGCCCCACCAATTGAAAAAGGGAAACATTTTTCTCAACTGATTCAGTCCTTATACTTACAGTCCATCTGTTGCCATAGCACTGATTGTCATGTCAAAATTGCAATTAGTAACACTCAGAGGTAATCAGGAAAAAGGCCAATGGAGCCTGTGCCCAGGCCTCAGTAATCTAATTGAGCAATAGGAAGTTTAATTTCAGGAGACCTGGTTTCAGGCTGTAGTTTTGCCGCTTACTGTGTTGCGTGGGCCATTTGTTGAGTAGAATGATCATTTTCAAGCTTGATTTTTTTTTTGTTATTCAAGTGCCATGTGTAAAACTGTTGCCTGTGATAGTTAGACAAACTCATTAACATCTCTGTGCCTAATTCCAATTACCTGTTTATCGAGACACTGTGATTATCTACTATAATATGTGGCCGACAAATTCATACTGTTGCTTTTAATAAGAAAGACACTGTAGTGAACATTGAAGAAGAACTTAAATGTGGTGGACTGGGTAGTGGGAGAAGTATCATGAAGAGATGGGCAGTATGGGCAGAAGCCAGGGATAGAAAAGCTCAGACTTCATATGATGAAAAATGAAGGGTACAGGTCGGCCAGAGAAAAGTACATAAAGTGATGAGGGCTGAGTAGTAAAAATGAAGCCACATTAGAGGCTGTTAAAAGTAGGAAGGCCAGATGGGTGAAAAGGATTGAAAAGGTAGCTCAGGCAGAAAGCTAATGTGATGAGATGGGTATTTCTAAGCCTCTGCTATTAGTCTATCTTCACTTTCAGAAGGAAAAACACAAGTCTGCTGAGTTTACTATCACAACTCTTCTCATGATTTTAATTTTCAGAAAATTTATGGCCTCCTATCACAAAATAGGCAGTCATTTTAGCTTGCTTCTGGGTCATAAAAATACAAAGTCTCAATTTTATATCTTGGCCAATTGTAGCAGCTGCCTGAATCTTTTCACGTCTGTTTATCTACAATACATTGTGAACCGTCTCTCAATACCACTTCTACCAGGAAGCCTTCTTTAGGAATCTAGATCTTTCTAGATTACTTTATTCCACCTCTAGATACTTATAGAAGTAGTATCCTGGAAGATTTTTTATTGACCTAGGAATGAAATAATAGGAATAAAATAAAGACCTGGCAGCAACCCTTTAGAACTTGAACTGTGTTATTTAATGTCATTTGTTTCTTTCCAAGTTAATTTGTTAATTCTCAAACTCTAAAGACACTTTGAATCATCCATTTAACAAATGAAATAATGGGAACTTCATGGATTCAACTTCACCTTAGGGGCTGAGAATACACTGGTGAAAACAAAACAAAACATCAACTATGGCCTGTATTAAAATTATCTTTAGGCATCAACAAAACACATTTCTGTGTTTCTGATAGGGAAATATGGAAAACTTTCATTTTTGGTGTTTTATGTTGTTGTTGTTGTTTTTAGATGTTTATTTATTGGCGGGTCTGATGCAATAGTACATAAAACACATCTGTTTTCACAGTGCCTGGAAAGGTCTTTATGGAATGAGAAATAAGAGGCAGATGGCCAATGGATAAAAAGACCTACCTATTTTGTTGAGTTATTTTATAGATGCAAATCACAATTCTACTAAAAGGTAAAAGAATTACTATCAGCAGGAAGGTCCAGATAAAAAATTCCTTGCATCCAAGGGAAAAGGAATTAGTTTTAGCCTACAGGAAAAGGGAGAAACTAGAGAAATTTTTGTGGAGTGTTTGGCTAGTCTTTGAGAGACCAAGACAAATAAAAAAATGTCCCTGGGCCTAGAGCTGAGATTATAATTTAGTGGTAGGTTTGAGGTCCTGAAATCAATTCTCAGCATGAAGGGTAAAAAGTGCCTGAAATTATTTTCCTAATATATTAAAACTAGGTCTAGAATTTATCTACTTAATCTATAGTGAATCCTTCTAAAATTTTATTTTTTAAGGGTCTCACTGTGTAGTCATGACTAGCCTGGAGCTAGTTAGACCAGGCTGTCCTGGAAGTATCTCAAGTGCAGGGACTAAAGGTGTGAGCCAGCATGCCCAGTTTATGGTTAGTCTTTCATTTAATATTTTTAATACCATTTATAGACTCACAAAGACTATACTTTCTACAATTTTATGTAAAATTTAATTTCTAGAAATAGCTACAAACCATTTGGGGAGGGAGGTCTTACATGTATCCCAGGTTGGCCTGCAACTCAGTACATAGGCCATGCTATCCTTGAATTCACAATGAGGCTCAGCCTGTCTTAGGCCCCCAAGTGCTAGTAATTCCAGACTTATGTGACCATCTTGCTGTAAATATCATATACCCCCCTCCCAAATCTGTCAGAGACTTGGGTGATTTTGTTGGTCAATCCTGTTTGTTGAAAATGCCTATATTTTTAGCTAAGACATTTATTTTCTAGTATGACTGATAGATGGATGCCCAGAACAATTCCAGAGTGAGCTTAAAAACCATTTCTACAGTGGACCAAGCTGATAGTATTTAACAGTGATAAGTGTGAAGGATAATCCCTTAGGCCTCAGATGTTTTGCTTGATTGATGTCTTTTTCTTTGAAAATCAGTCAGGTAAGAACAAGGTGCTCGCTTCTAATCCCAACAGATGGGGACACACAGGTGGACTGCAAATTTGAGGACCACTTGAACTACATACACAGTGAATTCCTGGCCAACCTGGTCTAAAGAGGTGCCCTGTGTTAAGACAACAAAACTATTTTAGTACACCTGATATCTGGATGTGTTGAATAAATTCACAACCAAATATAAAACATATGCTGCCAGGCAAGGGGCAGTGCATGCCTTTAATCCCAGCACTCGGGAGGCAGAAGCAGACCTTCCTCACAGGATGTCTGTGAGTTGAGGCCAGCCTGGTCTACAGAGAGAGTTCCAGGGCAGCCAAGGTTACACAGAGAAACCCTGTCTCAAAAAACAAAAAGAAAACCACAGCAAAACCAGTGGTGGAGCATGCCTTTAATCCCAGCACTCTTCTGGAGGCAGAAGCAGGCAGCAGGTGAATCTTTGTGAGTTTGAGGCCAACCTGATCTACATAATGAACTCCAGCCAGGACTACACAGACTCCACGTCATAGAGACCTTATAAAAAGTGAACAATTTAAAATCACAACTACCTAAATGTGTACAATAAAAGTTAAATAAATTCGATTACATCTACACCCTCGGTTATATTTCTTAATTAATTCCAATTTAGCATTAAAGTCGATTAATATTAGTAAGAAGATAGAGGAATGACCACCTCAACTGCCTGAGCACACAGAGAAAAACCTAAAATGATCCTGCATTTTATATCAGCTTCAACAAGCGTGGGGGCGAGGCTGAAGCTGACAGACGCTTACGTTTGTCTTTCTGGACATTAATTTTTTAATTGATTTTTAACGAGTTTTTTTTTATTTTAAGCTACAGATATCAATATTTTACCTCATAATCTGGAACAAAATTTTACATATTTCAAATATTCTTATACTAAACGGAAGCATCTGTGAAAACACATGGATCAGAAATTAAAACATTAAGCCTTAAATCAGCTTTCGTTTGGCGGTTTCCCGCTCGTGGAACGTAAAGAAAAACCGCCCCAATCCTCTGGGAAAGCCGGCGCTACCGGTTACCACCGTGAAGCCCGGTCGGCCATCTTTAATGTGGTCAGTTCTCATGCATCCGGTGACGGCAGGAAGAGGGGGGCGGGACGCCAGAGAAATTCGACCAATGAGATCATGGAAAGGAAACAGGCTGTCAGTAACCAGGCGCGGAGAGAGGAGCGCGCGACCGGAGGCGGAAGGCGTTAGATAAATTAGTCCGGTGTTAGGAAGCGGTTTCTGCGGCCTAGCGGTACTGTGGGAGCATAGTGGAGCGGTTTCTCCCCGGAGTTTGACACCTGCTTCCGTTACACAGAGGAAGTGTGGTTGGCTCGCCAGAGGACGGCTCCTGGACGAATTTGCTCTCCGCTGTGTGCTCGGCCGGAATCATGTCGAGCTTGGCGGTGAGAGACCCAGCCATGGATCGTTCGCTGCGTTCAGTGTTCGTGGGTAACATTCCGTATGAGGCGACGGAGGAGCAGTTAAAGGACATTTTCTCGGAGGTTGGTTCCGTTGTCAGTTTCCGTCTCGTATACGACAGAGAGACAGGAAAGCCTAAGGGGTATGGCTTCTGCGAGTACCAAGACCAGGAGACCGCGCTTAGTGCCATGCGGAACCTCAATGGGCGAGAATTTAGCGGGAGAGCGCTTCGGGTGGACAATGCCGCCAGCGAAAAGAACAAGGAGGAGTTAAAGAGCTTGGGCCCGGCTGCGCCCATCATTGACTCACCCTATGGGGACCCGATTGATCCAGAAGATGCTCCCGAGTCGATTACTAGAGCGGTCGCCAGCCTGCCCCCAGAGCAGATGTTTGAGCTGATGAAGCAAATGAAGCTGTGTGTCCAAAACAGCCACCAGGAAGCTCGCAACATGCTACTCCAGAACCCACAACTGGCGTATGCCCTGCTGCAGGCCCAAGTGGTGATGAGAATCATGGATCCAGAGATTGCACTGAAAATTTTGCATCGTAAGATACACGTCACACCATTGATCCCAGGCAAATCTCAGCCTGTCTCTGGCCCTGGCCCTGGTGGTCCTGGCCCTGGCCCCGGCTCCGGTCCTGGCCCTGCCACTGCCCCTGGGCTCTGCCCGGGACCCAATGTTATGCTGAACCAACAGAATCCTCCAGCTCCTCAGCCTCAGCATCTGCCAAGAAGACCTGTGAAGGACATCCCTCCCCTGATGCAGACTTCTATACAGGGAGGAATTCCAGCCCCAGGACCAATGCCAGCCGCAGTTCCTGGACCTGGACCTGGTTCCTTAACTCCAGGAGGAGCAATGCAGCCACAGGTTGGCATGCCAGTGGTTGGTCCAGTGCCCTTAGAGCGAGGACAAATGCAGATGTCAGATCCTAGACCTCCAATGCCTCGTGGACCCATGCCTTCTGGTGGCATACCTCCTCGAGGACTGCTGGGAGATGCTCCAAATGACCCTCGCGGAGGGACTTTGCTCTCAGTTACTGGAGAAGTAGAACCCAGAGGTTATATGGGCCCACCTCACCAGGGTCCCCCAATGCACCATGGTCACGACAGCCGTGGCCCTTCCTCGCATGATATGAGAGGAGGCCCGTTAGCAGCAGATCCCAGAATGCTAATTGGAGAGCCCAGAGGTCCCATGATAGATCAAAGAGGTCTGCCTATGGATGGTAGAGGAGGTAGAGAGTCTCGAGGAATGGAGACTCGGCCCATGGAAACCGAGGTCTTGGAGCCACGAGGAATGGAGAGGAGAATGGAGACCTGCGCAATGGAAACCAGAGGGATGGAAGCAAGAGGCATGGATGCAAGAGGACTAGAGATGAGGGGCCCTGGCCCTAGTTCCAGAGGTCCGATGACTGGTGGAATCCAGGGTCCTGGCCCCATTAATATGGGAGCAGGTGGCCCTCAGGGACCTAGACAGGTTCCAAACATTGCAGGAGTGGGAAATCCTGGAGGTAGCATGCAGGGGGCAGGTATACAAGGAGCAGGGATGCAGGGAGCAGGTATACAAGGAGGAGGAATGCAGGGAGCAGGCATGCAAGGAGGGATGCAGGGAGCAGGCATGCAAGGAGGGATGCAGGGAGCAAGTAAGCAAGGTGGAGGCCAGCCTAGCAGTTTTAGCCCTGGACAAAGCCAGGTAACTCCACAAGACCAAGAAAAAGCAGCTTTGATCATGCAGGTTCTTCAGCTGACTGCAGATCAGATTGCCATGCTGCCTCCCGAGCAAAGGCAGAGTATCTTGATCTTAAAGGAACAGATCCAGAAATCCACTGGTGCTTCTTGAAAGGGTTGACTAGGAAGCACTTAGTTATCCCCTCAGTGTTTATTGTGTGGCATGAAAGCAGTGCAGAAAGCTGTCTCCTGTGTGCCCATGCTTTAATGATTGAAGATTTCCCTATCCCTGGAACTTAGTTTTATTTCTAGTCTTTTCACTTTGTGTTTTCCCTTTTCTTTTTGGTTGAGGGTAGGGAATGGGCCTGTTCACTTTGTCACTGTTACTCTATAGAAACCCTGGAAATGATGACATACCAAATAAGGTGATACAGGAAGATAGAGCAATGGTAGCATGTCTGCACTCTGTTAGCCGTATTTTATAAATATCGATAAACTGGGAACTACGTAAACGTTGAAAGTGGCCTGTTACAATATTGATAGTTTAAAGATTTTTGGTTGTATATTGAACTGAATGTCAATTTGTGAAGATAGACTTTTTGGTAAACCAAAACACTAATTCTATTTTGAAGGCAATAGAGTGCTGTATTAAGGCTAACATTTTAGTTATTTTTTGAAACATTAGAGCTAACAGTCTGTGGTAAAATTTGTAGCAATGGAATTTTTTTTTAAAGCTCTTATGGGAAAACTCAAGATGATGCCTCTACTGAAACTGTTAGTATCCTTGCCTGGTCTCAACTCTGGTAGTTTTGCAGGACAGTTGTAGTGTGAACTGAGTTACATTTAAGTCTGATGAGACTCAATTAATTGCTTAATACATATCTCAGAAAAAAATCTTAAGCCCCAAGTCTGGTTGTGAGTAATTTTCTGACATCTAAAAGAATCAGTCAGACATGGATGGAGTCAGGCTTTCTTGAGTAGTGGAGGCTTCATTCAGTAACTCTCCCAGGTTCTCAATAAACCACTCTCCATATGGATGCACTCCATTTGGTTGACAGGAAGTTAGAAATCTTAGTCTTGACATTTTGACATGTCTTACAGTTTGATTACTTTCATAAACTACTTTCTTACATCTTACTAGAAATGGGGCCCAAGTAGACTGACAGCTCTGCTCAGTTAACTTAACATTTTATATTTTACATAAAAGCCACTTGGTCATAATAAACATTCCTATAAGATATATTTTAAAATAAGGAATGTGGAGTTTAATATGTTTCCTTTAGAGCTACTATCTTATGTTTTAGCTTTGAGTGTGTGGCACCTAGACATTGTGTCATATCCAGTTTATGAAACAAGCACAAGTTCCCATATGACCAAGTGACCTTCCTCTGTAGGTTAATAAACACCCAGCTACTGAGGGAAGAGTAGCCTTAGGGAGGGCTGACACAAGGGGTTTTCCCCTTGCAAAGTTCCTCAATGTTAAGTGTACAAAGTTCTCATCCCTAGGCTGTTTTCCTATGGTTTGGTTGTTCTGTGCTAGTGTTTCGCTGCCTGTGTTTCCTCTGCCTCCCTTGTGCTGGAGTGGCTTAGTGTTTGTACTTCTGTGCTATTTTTGGCCAATTCCAATTGCTTGTTTCTTTTGCAATTGTAGTTGCTAGCCCCAGACTTCTCACTGACTCAACATTGTTTGTTATAAGAAAGTCTACACTGTTTAATGAAGCTTAAATAAAAAGGTTTGTATGGCTAAGGTATTTTGTATGTTTAATTTCACTTAATACATTGGGAAATGCCTGTTTTTGAGAGATACATACATATAGTGAAAAAAGTAAAATAAGAAAATTTGTGGAATGGTTCAACAGCTGGGATCCTGTGAAGACTATGCCACTTCAGTGTCATCAGCACATTAGACATAATTGGTGTTCTCTTGGAATACTGTGTTCCAGGATCACCTTTCAGGCTTCTCAAGCACTGACACATTTGTTTTCTTCTACCCATAGCCCCCAACTTGTATTTCTAGACATAAATGGGGACATGAGAAGTGCCTCACTCCCTCTTGTATGTATAGACACAAATAGGGACATGAGAAGTGCCTCACTCCCTCTTGTATATGCTGTAGTAAAAGAGACAGATGAAAGGGATGAGCAAAACGTCCATTTTAGCTGAAGAAAGTTCTTTTCATTACCCCCAAGGTAACTGAGATTCATAACAAAATACATGAATTATAACACTATTTTCATTAGGATACAAATTAGAAAAAAGTGTCTGTCACCTCCAAAGGGAGATGGAGGCAGGAGAATAAGGAGTTTGTGCCCATCCAGGGCCATCTTAGCTCCTATAAAAACAAACAAAAACACAACTTAAAATGAATTCAAAATGAAAAGCAATCACCTTCACTATGATAAAGCAAAATCGTTTCTCATTACTAATTAACAGCTTACAGATTCTGGTATTGATAAAATAAAGGGCCTTGATCCCTTACAGAAGAATAATTCAAATGTGTTCTGTAGGTGTTGGAATATAATATTGATTACCAGGGTTTCTCATTCTCAGGTAGCATATGCTTTATATAATGATTGAATTTCATTAGTGCCTTCCCAATAGCCTCTTCCCCTATTACTGGTGATTGATAAGCAAATGGATTTTCTAAGGTTTCTAATTTTGGAATAAGGTATATACCGATGTGGATCTGGAGAAGGTAGGCTAACCCAAGTGAAATTGTATATGACTGGAATTTTAGTGGTGGAAAAGCATTTTTTAAAAATGTCTATCACACTTTGCAAAGCTTGCTTTCCATAGTGTGACAGGACATTAAGGAAGCCTACAGAACCTCATTTGCTGTGGGGTGTCAGGTCTCAGGACAGTTACATTCAGACACCTTCTGTGGCAGGACAGCTGAGCTGACAGTCCCATCTGAGTCTTCTTACTAAGAAGGTCTGCTGTCTGTACTCAGCTCGTCTCTAAACAGATTTCCAAGGTGTTTAGAGAAGTGTGTTTCTCTACAGCCAGGGAGATTTATATTGAGGGAATTATTAGTGTTATTGTTAATGTTAATAATTTGTATTGATAAAGCTATATGTCAATAATAAGTACTATTTGGATACTTGTATTGATGTATGTTTGTATATTTAAGATCAAGTAATAAGACCTTTTAATGTTTGTACGTATGTTTATGCACTCAAAAGTTTGCTTGTTTGAAATTCTTTTAGAGACAAGGTCACAATATCAAAAAGTAAAAGAAACACACCAGATACTTAGTAAATACTATGATAAGAGTACTCAGATAGTTACCAGCTGCATAGGAAAATATTTCCTTATAACTCACTTAATTTAAGGCCTAAAGGTAGGTAAGTATTCAGAAGGTTGAGTAAAATACACTAAGTCTTTGACTCTTAAGTAATTTTGTATGATTCAATATGCATAATATTTATAGACATTTAGAATGAACAGATTTCAGAAAAGTTGATTTTTTTTTAATCTGCCAAGTTAGTAATTTTATGTCTGCCTTGGAAGTAAAATGGATAATCTTAGGGCACAGAGAAATGAAAACAGTTAACTCCAAACCATTGTGTCTGTCTTACTTAATTAGCTGTTTTAAATCAGAATTCTGTCATTACATGAAAAATATTCTACAAAAATTCTGCAAAAGTATATGAACCATTTCTGCACACACCTCATCTTAACTGCCTGCAGTTAACATGAAGCAACTTGTACCAAATTTGAAATCCACTTACATATTTCTTGTGGACTTTAATGAAAAGGTTCCAAATTAATCTTCCTCAGAAAAAATTAATTTGTAATAACTCAGTTTTCAATTCCCTTTGTCTTAAGCATTAGCTGTAATAGCATTTGAGATGTGTATCAATTTAAAAAATAACACAGTTGAGTTAATGTAATGGGACTTTATCGGCTTTGCATAGTGCATTAACATTCATAAAATACTTTATATGCTAAGAATCACACTTTCTCACACATTAGATCACTGCAGTACCATACAGCATGACTAAAAATCTGGGCAAAATGAAACAGAATAAATTGCCTATTAAAATTTACTATTTTCTTTAAGCCTATACCTAAAATGACTTCATTTTTAGGCAGTGGTGAGAGGGAAAGTTCTCTGCCTTATCTCCAGCAACAAAGAAAATATGCTGTTGGAACTTTTAGAATAGTTATTAAGTTACTACCAAAATTTTGTTTTTAAGTATCTCATTCAAGAACTGATGACTTGGTGGCCTGCCAGCCAACAGAACCTGCCTACACACAGGTTTTACTTGACTAGCTCAATTGTCTCAAAACGTTTATTTTAAATGTATATGTTTTCCAGTTTTGTCACAGATTCCACCTCTTGATTCATGCAATTAGAAGACTACCAGTCAACCCCTATAATACTTTTGACTCATACCTGCTTTGTGTAAACACATGACTGTCAGCGTCCATTGGAACTAGTGTCTAGTTTGACCAGTGTGAAGTAAGAAAATGTGCTTGGCAAGTGGTTTTTTAAGGGTACTCATGTAAAAAGCAACAAAATAGTTCAGAGAAAACCAAAACAGGGAAAGACCTAGAACTATTACTATGTAGTTTTTTATGATGGCCCACAATACCTGGCCAATCGATACATTTTTTTGTGCTCTGAATACATATTTACCCAAAATACCTATATTCTCTTTAATTTATTTTACATGTGTGTGTGTGTGTGTGTGTGTGTGTGTGTGTGTGTGTACATATGGAAGTCAGAGGGCAACTTGTGGGAGTTGTTTCTCTTCTGCCATGTGGAACCCAGGGATTGAACTCAGGCAGTCCGTCTTGGTGGAAAGTGCCTTTACTCACTGAGCCACCTTGTTGCCCCCTCTCCTTTTTGATTTGTCAAGAGTAGTTGCTGTCTCAGAACACCACTTAAATATGTAATAGGACTGAGCTGTATTCTTCTAACTTTTACAGAGTGTATTGATTTATGCACACATAAAATTTGATGACTGCCGTTGATGAGCTGCTCATTCCTGTGTTATAGTTCTAACTTTTACAGAGTGTATTGATTTATGCACACATAAAATTTGATGACTGCCGTTGATGAGCTGCTCATTCCTGTGTTATAGTTACGTCAGCTGTGTTTGCCCCCAAACTTCTATTAATTTTATTTATTAGTATAATATATAGATATGAAGCCAGGTGGTGGTGCATACTTAATCCCAGCACTCAGGAGGCAGAGGCAGACAGATCTCTGAATTTAAAGCCATCCTAGTCTACTGAATAAGTTCCAGGACAGCCAGAGCTATATAGAGAAATGCTGTGTGTGTGTATGTGTAGTGATAGACGTAGGTCTAGGTAAACAATGTATGTAAACTGCTGCAAAAATACATGACTGTCTCAATTAAAATTATGTTCAATGATTTGAAATTATATATGTATATGTCACATCACTTGTGCTTTATTATAAGTTAACACCCTGCTTGTGCTACTTTTTGTAATATTGATATGATATAGGGAAATTGACAAGTGTAAAAGGTTATTTCTATGAAAAATATTGGATACTTCCAAGAAATCTTAGGCTTGGTGCTGCTAGTCATCAGCCCTGCATCTCCACAGGGTTCACTCAGTAAAGACAACAACTTGTCACCTTTCTGCTCTATCCTCCTGCTCTCCCTGGAGTTAAATGCTCAAGCAAAGGGAATGTACTTTAATCTCTCCCTAATTAATGTGGGCCTTGAGCCAGCAGCATGGGTGTCACCTGGGAGCCTGCTAAAAATGAAGACTCTTGTGTTGTAACCAAACCTGCTGAGTTAGAATTTATATTTTAATAAAGTCTCTGGGGACTCATAGCCAAAAATTTCCTTGTCAAAACACTGCCTAATCACAATTCTAAAAATAACAAAATTGAAAACAAAGTACCTTAAAGACTATTTTGAGAAATAGGATGTTTTAGTTTACTCAGTAACACAAAAGATCAAACTTGGGCATGGGGAGAATCCCTATCTAATCCAAGAACTATGTAAGAGGGAGTATTTCAACCGGAGGCCATATTGAACAATGAAGCACATGAACAGTAGTCCTGTGTGTTTAAGGATAATCTTGTGAATACTGGCCACAGCTGAGGTTGTTTTGGGGATACACTTGAGTGTATTTAGCCAATGTATATGTGCCTTTCCTTTTTCTCCTGAGCAAAGGGGAAGTTAGGTAAAATCTGATGGAAATAATACATTTATTTACATTATATTATATATTTTCACCTGAAACATTGTACATGGAAAATTTTTATAGACATGTCCCTCCTTGGGATGGAGTGCTCATGATTCAGTCAGAATTAACCCCTGACAGAATTCTGCTGTAACACCTTCGCCAACAGCAGTAAGTATTCTGAAGTTACAAAAGAACAGGGCCAATAAAACAAGAACCAGCAAAGGATCCACCTAGTATCAGAAATAGTCTCAACACTCTATGTTGCAATTTGTGCCTTTCAGGGAATCTTACATAATTAAGGCTATAAATTAACCAAATCAACATTTGGAAAATTAAGCAAATTAGCGTTTTGATTTTTCTCAAGGGAAAGTTTACATTGAGTTGAAGTGGTTGAACTTAAAGCCTTCGCATAAAACAGTTTTAAATTCAAAGTAATATCTAGGTGGTGATGTCAGACCCCTTGGTGAGGCTGTGAAGGTGACCTGAGAGTGTGGACTCACCCCTGCTTATGCCTGTTGAGACTATTCCAGAACTAACCTTGGGCTTTAAAGGTTTTCTGAAACAGTCTTTCAGGAT